GTCCCCTCCCGTCCCGTCCTGGCCCCTCCTGTCCCGTCCCGGCCCGTCCCGGCCCCTGCAGGCTGGAATACTGTGGGCTCACAGCTGCCGGCTGTGAATCACTGGCCGCGGCGCTCAGGGCCAAGCCAGACTTCAAGGAGCTGGTGGTGAGCAACAATGACCTCCATGAGGCTGGAGTCCGGACACTATGCCAGGGCTTGAAAGAGTCTGCTTGCCGGCTGGAGACGCTCAAGTAAGCTCCAGGCCGCGGGGGCCCTGGGGTGGGGGTGGCCCCGGGGCTCCTCTCAGACCACCTTGCTTCTCCAGGATGGAGAGCTGTGGTGTGACCACAGCCAACTGCAGGGATCTGTGTGACGTGGTCTCCAAGGCGCCCCTGCGGGAGCTGGACCTGGGCAGCAACAAGCTGGGCGACGCGGGCCTGGCGCTGCTGTGCCCCGGGCTGCGGCTCCACGGCTCCCAGCTGCAGGTCCTGTGGTGAGTTGGCTGCAGCCTCCCCCAGGTGCGAGGAGGCGGGGGGCCTGGGGCCACGCGGCGGGTGCGGGCGGACCTGTTCAGGAAGTGCCCTGCCCACAGGCTCTGGGAGTGTGGCATCACGGCCGAGGGCTGCCGGGAGCTGTGCGGCCTCCTGAGAGCCCAGCCCGGCCTGAAGGAGCTCAGCGTGGCCAGCAACGACCTGGGCGACGAGGGCGCCCGGCTGCTGTGCGAGAGCCTGCTGGAGCCTGGCTCCCCGCTGGAGTCACTGTGGTGAGGACGGGCCCTGCGGGGCCATGGGGCCGGGGGCCGCACGGGAAAGGGGAACAGTGTGCAGAGTGAGCAGCCCGGAGGACCAGCGTTCACCTGGGAGACGTTCCTGCCTGGTCCCCACGGCGTCTAGGGCCGGTGGCAGCGTTGGGCCTCCCTTGGTCTAGCTGGTGTGCATCTGTCCCCACAGGGTGAAGAGTTGCAACCTCACAGATGCCTGCTGTCCCCATTTCCGGTCAGTGTTGGCCCAGAACAAGTCTCTCCTGGAGCTGCAGTTAAGCAGCAATAAGCTGGGGGACTCAGGTGTGCAGGAGCTCTGCCAGGGCCTGTGCCAGCCCGGCTGCGTGCTGCGTGAGCTCTGGTGAGTGTGAGCCGTGCTGGGAGGGACGCAGGGCCTGCTGCCCGCTTGTCACTCCAGCTTTGATCTGAGGCCTTGGCTTGTGGCTCACGCCTGTGATCCTAGCTATTCGGAGGCTGAGATTTGAGGATTGTGGTTGGAAGCCAGCTTGGGAAGGGAAGTCTGAGACTTAATAAACCACTAAAAAAGCCAGAAGTGGTAGCTCAAGTGGCAGAGCTCTAGCCTTGAGCAAAAGAAACTCAGGGACAGCGCCCAGACCTCAGGACTGGCACACACAGAAACAACAAAACGTAAAAGCCACCCAGAGG